CTCCTATTTCCTTCTTGGAATTAAGTCAGGAGAAGAGGAAAACGTCCTGTTCCTTGTCCCTACTACACAGAGGGGCTAGCCCCGCAGCACTGTTTCTGCAGCATCCAGCTGTGGCTACATTTCACAGCACTGCAGCCTGGACAAAGGTCCGAAAATCTGTCGTTGCTGCGGATGACTATGTATTAGGAACTGCAGGCTGCATCCATAGCTTCTATCCACGAAAATAAAACGGCTTCCACCAGCACGACTCCTGTTAAGAAAAACGTCAGTATCGGCTAAAAGCCCCCCCTTCCCCCCCCCCCCCCGGTCGCTTTGGGGGGGGGGGAAGAGGGGGAAAGAGGCTGCGGCAGAGAAATTAGCTGTGGGTGGGGAACAGCTGCTCCAGCCACGGCTCCTGCGTCCCAGCCCTGGCTGCTAGTGTCTCCCTCAATTCCCACGAGCAAGGGAAGGCTGCCCGACAGGGCCGAACTTACTTGCCTACTCCCGGCCCCCAGCGCAGCTCTGCAGCCCGGCGCGCGCCTGGCTCTACGCTCTCAGGCCTCGCCCCTAAGAGAAGCGGCGGTTCTTTGCCCCGCAGCGTCGCAGCGCTACGAGGGGTGGAGTAACCCTCTGCGGGGCCGGAGTGCCACAACCGCGCATGCGGGTGGCGGTCTGGCGGTGACGGCGGCCCGCGCGCATGCGCATTCGGGTATCTTCCCCACGCGGGTGGGCGATGGGATTCCGCAACGTGTGAGTGAGCGGCGGGGGGTGGTAGGAGACGGGGGGTGTGTGAGGCGCCTCTTCCATTCCCGCCCGTGGGCCCCCGGCTCCTTCAGGCTGCTCGGGTCCGCCAAGCGCTGGGCCCCGCGCGCGCGCGTGCGTAGGGTCGGGAGCCGGCAGCGCTGTGGCTGCTTGCCGGGCCGGGGCGTTGCCGTGTCTTCGGATGGAGCTGGGGGGCCAGGCGGGGCCGCTCTTCTCCCCGCTGCGGAGGGCAGTGACTGTGGGGAAGGGCGGGGTGCAGCCTCCCGTATCCCTCTGTCAGGCCCCGGCTGGGACTGACTAGACTGCGGGGCGCGGTGTCTAGCGGGCTCGGGCTCAGCGGCTGGGTGACCTTGGGCAAGAACATCCACTTCCCTGCCTCAGTTTCGCTATCAAACAGGGTTAATGCCGCTGGGTCCTCTTGTAAAGCGCTCTGAGAGCTAGTGATGACAAGTGCTATGGAAGCGCTAGGTATGAATTACTCATTTGTTAAGCTGTTCTAGACGAGTGCTTGGTAGGGGTGGTTGGTTTGTTTTGGCTGAAGTTCTTTGCTTTTCTGACGTTTTGGCAGCAAAACTTCAGCCTTTCCCTCATTTAGCTTCAGTCCAGCATTGAGATTTTCTCATCCCTCCAAGCTCTGTTTCACTAGGAGAAGGGGAGAGTGTTGGTTTTGAAGGAAGCAACCATATTGTCTCTTCTTCCCTTCTTTTCCTGGGCTGGAGGTTAGGAACGTAAGAACAGCAATACTGACTCAGACCAAAGGTCCATCTAGCCCAGGAGCCTGTCTGCCGACAGTGGCCAATGCCAGATGCCTCAGAACAGGGAATCCTCAAGTAATCCCTCTTCTGTCACTCATTCCCAGTCTTTTAACAAAGGCTAGGGACACCATTGCTACCCATCCTGGCTAATAGCCATTGATGGACCTAATCTCCATGACTTTAACAAGGTTCAAGAAGTAACTAGATAATGTCCTAGTCTTCACAATATCCTCTGGTAAGGCGTTCCACAGGCTGACCATGTGCTGTGTGAAGAAAAACCTCATTTTGTTTATTTTAAACTTGCTACTTATTAATTTCATTTGGTGACCCCTAATTCTTATGGGAGCAAGTGAATAACTTTTTTCCTTATTCATTTTTTCCATAAAAGGTTGCATATTGGTCTTCCTGTTTTATAATATGGCAGGGGGCTGGGCTTGAAGTCCTGTTTGGCTGTAGCCTGCGCACTCCTTATACACCCACTCCTCATGCACCGGGGTGCTGACACGCTGCGCTTCCTACTCCTTTCCTTGCGTCCCAACACTTTAAGAGTGCCATGAATCTGCTGATTTGAGCTCTCTCTCCACTCCTCCTCCTTCTCCCTCCCAGGCTGTGTCTACACTGGGCCACTTATTCCGGAAAATCAGCCGCTTTTCCAGAATAAGCTGCGAGCTGTCTACACTGGCCCTTGAATTTCCGGAAAAGCAACGACACTCTACTGTACAAAATCAGCCGCTATTCCGGAAAAACTATTCTGCTCCCGCTCGGGCATAAGTCCTTATTCCGGAACACTGTTCCGGAAAAGGACCAGTGTAGACAGCCCAGTAGTCTTTTCCGGAAAAAAGCCCCAATCGCAAAAATGGCGATCGGGGCTCTTTTCCGGAAAAGCGCGTCTACATTGGCCACAGATACTTTTCCAGAAAAAGGGCTTTTCCGGAAAAGCAGCCTGCCAATGTAGACGCTCCTTTTCTGGAAAAACTGAAAACGGAATAGTATTCCGTTTTAAGCAGTTCTGGAAATTCATGCCAGTGTAGACACAGCCCCAGAGTTTGAACAGCTGATTTGCAGCATTTGAATCAGGGGATTTGGGACACTCAGAGCTGGGACGGAGAGGGAAGATTAGGAAATGCGGGCCTGTGTGTGAGAGGTGCATGGGGAGGAGGACAGATAAGGGATTGGTGGGCCTCAGGCAAACCCTCTGACCTGTCCTGGAGCCCAGCAATTGTAAAGGGTCAGGGGTGCTTGGTGATTGCTGCGGCTACTGCAACAGTGACAGTGGCTAGAGCTCTGGGTCCTTTACAGTCCCTCCAGCTAGCTCTGAGGGTGGGGGAGGAGGGGTGTCATGCTGTCCAGGAGAAGCTTGGCAGGAGCAGGCCACCCACATGTAGGTAGTTAAGCAATTAAACATTATTTAACTAGTTAACTGATTAAGCGGGATTTTACATCCCTAGTAGAACTTCAACTGGTCCAGAATGCAGCTGCTTGAGTCTTAACTAATACTTGTTATACGGAGCACATTATGCCAGTGCTTTGGCAGCTGCACTGGTTTCTGGTATGTTTCCGGGCACAATTTAAGATTTTAGTTATGACCTATAAAGCTCCAAACTAGTTGCGTCCGGGGTATCTGAAGGACCGTCTTCTCCCATATGAACCTGCCCGGGAATTGAGGTCAGCTGGGGATGCTCTGCTTTATGTTCCCCCCACTTGTGGAGATAAGGTTAATGTTTATGCAGAACAGGGCCTTCTCGCTTTTGCTTGCAGGCTGTGGAATTCTCTTCCTCGGGACATTCACATGGTGCCAACACTAGCATTGTTTCAGTGTCAGGCTAAAGCCACCCTTTTTACTCATGCTTTTATTAATGTCTGAGCTTGTATGTGTGTGTTCCTCTTCTCAATATGTTTTTAGCGGGTTTTATGTCCCTCTGGTGTCTTGTATTTTAAATTTATTTATTTATATAATATATATATATATTTGTTTTGTGTTTAAAAACATTTGTAAGCCACCTCGAATATTTTAAATAGAGGGATGGGGTAAAATATTTATATAAATAAGTAAACAAACAAACAAACCCCATTGGGCTGCATGCAAGCCACAGGTTGCCCACCACTGCTCTAAAGGACTATTCACAATTTGTGAATGAAACAATCTCCCTTCGTAGCTCGGAGTGTTAGAAATAAAGACCCTGCTGCATTGATTTCAGATCAGTTAGGATTCCCAGTTTTTGTTGGTTGTATTCCTGGAGATTTTGTTACATGACATAATCTTTAATAAAATATCAATGTTTAATTTCTGGAGATGCCAGGATAATCCTGGAGGGTTGGCAACCCTAATTAGGCAGTGTGTAGGCAGGAGATTGGGATCCAAAGGCCTGTATGGAATTGGCTGCTTTGGTCACCTTCCTGATATGAAGGGGTCCCGTGTTTATTTCTTTAGACCCTGAGAGCTGATGGGTCCCTGCCTGCAATGCAGCATCTTGATCCAAGTGCCTGTAAGAGGTAAGGATAGGACTCCAGGAGGGATGTGTAATACAAAAGATCAAGATCTCAAATTAAGCATTGGTATCTCTTGTCATGGAGGTGCACCATTTTATTTTATTTTATTTATCAAGGAAGTACTTTCCATAATAAAGGTGGCATCAGTACTACAAAGATTTGTGTGGGGGGCTCCTGCCTGCTGGTTTCCATTCTTCATGAGGTGACCAACACTGGAAGGGTTTCTGCTCCTAAGTAGACAAATTAGAACATCAGCATCATTGCATTACTTAACCTAGACTTCATTTCAAAGTTTTCTTCATACCCTGAGTGCAGATCACTGTGGAAGACCTCTACTAGGTACCCAATCTCTGTTAGCAGATCTGTCCTCACCTGAATCATCCAGTTGATTACTGTGCATAAGTGTTTGAGTCTTCAGGAACTAGGGATGTTAGATATTGTTTAATTTAATAATCGTGTAACCACACAAAATCTTAGCGGTTATGCAGTTATTTGATAGTCTCCAGGGGTGGGGCAAGCAGCCAGTGCACTTCTAGGCTTACTCAAGGGAATGCCCTGCCATCCCAGGCAGAAGCCTATCAGGAACTCAATTTTTTCTTTATTGCAAAAATTCTTAGTGGTGTCAAACCAGAAATTTTACTGACAGTTATGAACTTAAAGAAATAAGTACAAAGTTTCCATTAATAAAATGGGAAGAAAGTAAATAACAAATAATACATAAATAGAAAATGTCCTTTTAAATGTAAGGAAAAAAACAATTATATATATATATATAATTGATAAGTATCTATCTGGGAGTTAAGTGTGTTGGTGAAGTGCTCCTCTAATGCAGATGAGTACCGTACTTAGTTTTGGTATGAGAAGGTGGGACATGCCAGCAACTAACATTAGATAGAATATATAGGAATAAAGTTTTTCCAGGAGCTTGTTGGAAATTAGAAGTCTACTGCATAATTATTATTAAAGTGATTATATCCAAATAAGCTTTGGTGGCTTTTTTTTTTCTCTTTTAAGCTCTACCACAATGCCTGGATCCCTTCCTGTGAATGCTGAAGCCTGTTGGCCAAAAGATGTGGGAATTGTTGCACTGGAGATCTATTTTCCTTCTCAGTATGTTGACCAGACAGAATTGGAAAAATTTGATGGTGTGGATGCTGGGAAGTATACCATTGGTTTGGGTCAATCGAAGATGGGATTCTGCTCAGATAGAGAGGATATCAACTCACTCTGTTTGACTGTGGTACAGAAGCTTATGGAGCGGAATAGTCTCTCCTACGATTGCATTGGGAGATTAGAAGTTGGAACAGAGACAATCATTGACAAATCAAAATCTGTAAAGACTGTCTTGATGCAGCTCTTTGAGGATTCTGGTAATACTGATGTAGAAGGGATCGACACAACAAATGCATGCTATGGAGGCACTGCTGCTATCTTTAATGCTGTTAACTGGGTTGAGTCTAGTTCTTGGGATGGTAAGTTTGGTGTCTTTGTTTGAAAGCTATGTTTAAGTCTCTGTTCAGTATTCTTCCATGTAATTATAGACAGTCTTGTAAAAATACTTTAGAAGATAAAGGTTTCCTTTTCTATAATTAAAAATGCTCAGCAAAATGGACACTGGCCTTGTGCATAGTTTTCTTGGAAGTACACTAAACAGAAAGTGTATTTTTCCAAGATGACTTACACATCTAGGTTACACTTTATGGAGATGTGAAATTCAAATATATTGTATATGTGTTACAGAGTGATTCGGAGACACCTACTTATCACTAATCTTTTCTTGTAAATCTGGATGGGAATGCTCCAAGGAATGAAAATAAAAAGGTAGAAATAAATTCAGAGTAATGACAGCAGATTAGAGCTCTCTCAATCCTGCAAACATATCTTAGTATAAATTGAAGAACTAAGCATTGCCAGGTAAAAATAAAGTTTCCAAGGGACTCCTTTCTATAGTTTTTTCTTATCTTTTGCAGGTCGTTACGCGCTTGTTGTTGCTGGAGACATAGCTGTGTATGCCACTGGGAATGCCAGGCCAACTGGTGGAGCTGGTGCTGTTGCTATGTTAATTGGTCCAAATGCACCTTTAATTTTTGAGAGAGGTTAGTCTCATGTGGAAAGGTTTAAAATAGATGCCACATATAAGGCTTGCAGAACACCTTCAACTCCATGATGTCCAGTAGCTACTGTCATTCCAGGTCTACAGGGAGCCCTATGCTGTCCAGGCCCAGTGCGTATCTCCCTGAAGCGCAGGAACCAGGGCAACTGCCCTGAAGTTTCCTTGTGTTAGAACTTGCACCTTCTATCTTGTTGAATGTAGACTGACTTGTTGCTGCTCCAGGTGGGATACATTTGTGGTAGAGTATGATGTACTGCATGCCTTTCTTCAGAGTTTCACCAATGGAAATACAAAGGCTTCACTGTCTAGTCTAGTGCCTGTCAGCATAGTTTTCTCAGATGATGAAAATCATTTCTTACAGGCAAGATAGGTTAGATCAGTGTTTCCCAATTTTATTTGGCCACTGGACCCTTTTAAACTCGAAAGAATTTTGCAGAACCCCTAATAACAGTATATATGGAGCTGAAAAAGTAGACCATAAATAAGTAAGGATAATAATAAACAAATGCTAAACAAGGTCATGAGATCAATATTTAGTTTAATTGCACATAATTAATATTATGTGATTTTTGGTTTTAAATATTTTTTTAATCATAAAATGTTATTGTAATGGAATTTTCTTGTGGAACCCTTATTTTAATTTCGCAGAACCCTGGAGTTCTGCGGAACACAGTTTGGGAAACACTGGGTTAGATTCACAAAGGAATGTTGGAGTGCTGATGCAGCGTCACTGCACTTAACTTCTAGGAGTCTAGAAAATAACTTGTGATTAATAAAGCCTGAGTTAGGCACCTTAGCTTACAATGAATGGGGAGAGTTAGGCTCCTCAGAATGCTATTCACAAAAGTTGGCATGCTAGTCATCTCTTTACCTCGACTACCCAGTGGAAGATGCCAAGGCAAGAGGAGCAAGGCTTAACATGCACCTCTCTTAGAGGTTGTTGCCAAAGTCTAGGCTGCAGGGACATGCCTCCCTTTTCTTGTGTGGGATTCTCTGCTGCCATGCCTTTTCTTTGTGGTGTTGCCTAATTGTTTTTGGCAAGATCCCAGAGGGTGAGGAGGAGCTCCCATGTATCTGTTAGCCCAGTGGTTAGAGTACATGCCAGAAGTGTAGAGGCCTCTTTCCCCTGTTAAAGTACCCTCATCTCAATGGGAGAAGAGATTTGAACAGGAATCTGCCACCTCTCAAGTAAGTATCCTAACCTCCTGTGTTTTGGGATACTCTGATGTGAACCTCCCTCAGTCTCTCCTGTTGAAATTGTTCCAGTTTTGATAAATGATCGTCATTGGGCTAGAGAGAGCAACTAACAGGGCTGTCCCTGGGACTGTGTGGGGCCCAGAACATTCTCTCTTCCCCTCCCCCTAGGTCCTATTCCCACTCCACCCTTTCCACCAAGCCCCGGCCCCAACTTTTCCCAAACGATACTAGGAGCTGGTGAGGGTATGGCATAGCATAGCAGGGCCAGTAGCACTGCCGTTGTCCCTCGTGCTACCTGGACTCTGTGTACCCAAGTAAAAATGGAGAGAAATGGGGCCAGTGCCACTGCTGCTGGCCCCTTTGTTGACCGGGGCCACGTGTATCCCTGAAGTGTGGGGTGCCCTGAATTAGGGATGTAAAATCCC